ACTTTTCCTGTTTAAGGTTTCTTGTAAGTTTGTAATATTTGCAATGGTATGTGTATGGTTCTTGTCAGCTTTAAGGTCTAAACATCCTGAAACCCACCCTGTATTGGCTTTACCTTCTAAAATCTTCGATGTCCGTTCATGGTACCATTCAACCCTTTTTATAATTTCATTGTCTTTTTCATCCACATATTCCTTATCTGCCTTCTTCACTAACCCACTAGCCAGATATGCTAACTCATCGTCAACATACTCTTTGTCAGCTTTCTTTTCAACATCCTCTTTTGTTGCATATGTTGCATCTGCTCTGTCATGTTCTTCTTGAACTTTTTCAATGACATACTCTTTGTCAGCTTTCTTTTCAACATCCTCTTTTGTTGCATATGTTGCATCTGCTCTGTCATGTTCTTCTTGAACTTTTTCAATGACATACTCTTTGTCAGCTTTGTTGTCAATATCTGCCTTCAAAAGAAGTTCATCTATAGGTTTCTCGTTTAAAGTTCTTTTTGTTGGATTTATACAAACAGTATGGTTCTTACTGTCTTGAAATAGAAACTCGTCTGTCAATGGGTTTAATGTCAGTTTTAAGTTTCCTTCTTTCAATGACTCAGATATCTTAGAATAGTTTGAAAAGTTTGTTGTGTTCTTATTTAGAGCTTGCAAAATGAGTTGTCGGTTGTGTTTTATTTCTCTCATAGACGCTGTTTCTTTCGACATTTTTATTCTAGATAAAATATGCTTTCAATAGAAAAAGAAAATTCAAGAGTTGCTACAACTAAACCATTAGATGAACTTTTTACGAATGTCGGTCAAAAGTTTGAGACAGAGACCGTAAAGCATGAAGGCTATCGTTTTGACTACCCGTTAAGATGGTTAAGAGACCCATCCGTCACAAAAGCTATTGGCTTTCGTAGAATGAAGTTCATTTCAGAAGCCATACATGGTTTCCCATTTACGGTCGCTTTTGAAGTTCGATACTATAACAAAGAAAAACGTACGTATGAGAAATTTGAACAGGGAAAACTTTTACAAGTTAGTTTGCTTGTAAACTTAGAAACAACTCTTCAAGCTTTTCAAGAAAAAATAAACGATATCTATCTCGAATATGCAAAACAGTACAACATTGACGAAGGAGAGTACCATCTCGATATTATATATGACAGGAAAAATGCAACTGTTAAAATCAATAGAATAGAAGACCTTGGAGAAGACGTTTATATTTCTACAAAATATAACAACTTGGCATGGTATAGATTTTTGAGGATGTTAAATCAGCCTGCAGCATATCCAGTACACCCGAACTTTTATGAAGTCGAAAACCCTAATGGAACATATGAAAATGTTTTCGACTCAGATGCTATTATAGTTCATGCTTCATTTTCTGGCGCACAAAACTCTTTTTTATGCTTGGCAAATGACTTTTACGAAAAACCTACAAAGCTATACGAACCACCAAGTGGAAGTATTTCAGACTTTCAAGTATGGTTTACTACAGATGGAAGAAAGAGAATAATTCCATTATACCACGCGTTTTACTTAGAACTTAGTTTCATATACAACTACTATCGAACGGTAAAAATATGATTTTTTAATACGGTTGAGGTGTTGGATTTGGTTGCCAACTAGACTGTGGTGCAGGTTCAGGCTGTTGTATAACAGGAGCTTGCTCTTCTGGTTCAGGGTCTTTAGGTATAATACCAACGAACTGACCTACCCTTTTACCAATATTTTTGACACCGTTCCAAATTCCTCTTCCGACGGTTTTTATTCCATTCCATATACCTCTTCCAACATTTCGAAAGAAGTTTCCTATCTTACTGAAGAAACCCATTTTACTATATGTAAAAATCTAATGTCCGCCTAGTCTCTTACGTTTCCTGTTGAGTTCCATAGCATTCTTTAACTGGAGCTCATACATTCTATTTCTCCTCTGGTAGAAAACATACTCTGGGTCAACTCCTGTGTTCGCGTCATCTGCATAGAGTTGTTTATATCCCACTTCAGGGTTTGTATAAAACTCTTTCCATCTCATATTTGCATACCATGGTGGCAAACCTAACGCAGCGTCATTTGACATGGCAGTTTGCATTTGTACATCTGTTGGCACTTGACCATAGTTTGCCATTGCAGTTTGTATTCTAACTTCATTTGGAATATTCTCTGGGTTTGGTTGTCCAGGTTGCTGTGCATTCGCTAAGTTCTGTGCGTCCATTTAATATTAGATAAAAATATCTCTTACGAGTACATATACTGGACATTTGCAGGCATTGGTTCATCTTCATATTCTCTGTACTTTTCTGCCACGTCAAATAAGTAAATGACACAATGGAAAAACCTAAAACAAGTAGTCCTATTTCAAACCACATTTACTTACTAGTAAAATTTCTTTGTTATGACACTTTCTCCAGTTTATAGACCTCTCTCATATTCTATCTTATCGTATCTAAAATCATAGTCATGTATGTCTCTAACATCTCATAACACTTTCCAAACCACTTTTATCGGATGTAAAGTAAAAGCATGGATGGTTATGTAAAACGTCTAAAGTTTCTAAAGAGTCTCTCAAAGTCCAGTCTACTTGGTATTGAAAATCCCATGTGTTATAGAACGGCGGGTCCACTATAAAGAAAACATTTTCCTTGTCTTTATATTTTTCATACAACTCTGTCCAATGACATCTCACAAACTCTATACCCTCAATATATTTTTCTATGTTCTCTTTGAAAACATTTGTATAGTTAAGATATAAAACTTTTGACATAAGTGTTTCAATGTCATGAACTCTTATAGCACCACTATATAATAGTCTAGCAGATATACTATCCCAGTCAATATACTCTGCCTTTTTCAAAACCTCTCTGACAGTATTTTTCTTATCTAATGGTATACGTTCCATCTTACCTATAGGTATCTTTTCTTTTAACTCTTTCAATATTTTGTTTGTGTCTGGTATATGTTTGAGACGGTTCATATAGTTGTCGAAGTCATTGCATATAATCTTTGAGTCAGGAAATATTGTATGGCACAAATGAGATATATAGAAACTTCCACCGAACAAGTCTACAAATGTTAGACCATTCGGTAGTTTCTTAAGTTCTCTCAATAGAATATCTTTACATCTACTCTTATTTCCAAAGAAGGGTAACGGAGGTTTTGTAAAATTCATTTTATATACAATAAAAATGTTTTTTCCCTGAAAAGTGACAGAAAAGCGGCTTTTGACAGATGTTTATATGACACTTCTTCGTAAAGACTTTGTTGAGATTTCTTCGTAAAGACTTTGTTAAGACTTCTTCGTAAAGACTTTGTTGAGATTTCTTCGTAAATGACCCAAAAATATATTTTAGGTGAAGAGGTGAGATTTCACCTCTTTTTTCACCTCATTTCTCACCTCTTGAATTTTCATGAATTTCTTCGTAAAGACTTTGTTAAGACTTCTTCATCTAATTTCTCATGAACTTTCTTGTCTATGTTTTGTTGAGATTTCTTCGTAAAGACTTTGTTGAGATTTCTTCGTAAAATGACCCAAAAATATATTTTAGGTGAAGAGGTGAGATTTCACCTCTTTTTTCACCTCATTTCTCACCTCTTGAATTTTCATGAATTTCTTCGTAAAGACTTTGTTAAGACTTCTTCATCTAATTTCTCATGAACTTTCTTGTCTATGTTTTGTTGAGATTTCTTCGTAAAGACTTTGTTAAGACTTCTTCGTAAAGACTTTGTTGAGATTTCTTCGTAAATGACCCTAGTAGTATATTTTTGGTGTAAATTTCATGAAAATTCAAGAGGGTGAAAAATTAGGTGAAAAAACAGGTGAAATCTCACCTCTTCACCTAAAATATATTTTTGGTGTAAATTTCATGAAAATTCAAGAGGGTGAAAAATTAGGTGAAAAAACAGGTGAAATCTCACCTCTTCACCTAAAATATATTTTTGTCTGATTTTACGAAGAAGAAGTCTTGACAAAACATTTACGAAGAAGAAGTCTTGACAAAACATTTACGAAGAAGTCTTGACAAAACATTTACGAAGAAGAAGTCTTGACAAAACATTTACGAAGAAGTCTTGACAAAACATTTACGAAGAAGAAGTCTTGACAAAACATTTACGAAGAAGAAGTCTTGACAAAACATTTACGAAGAAGTCTTGACAAAACATTTACGAAGAAGAAGTCTTGACAAAGTCTTTACGAAGAAGAAGTCTTGACAAAACATTTACGAAGAAGTCTTGACAAAGTCTTTACGATGAAATTCATGAAAATTCAAGAGGGTGAAAAATTAGGTGAAAAAACAGGTGAAATCTCACCTCTTCACCTAAAATATATTTTTGTCTGATTTTACGAAGAAGAAGTCTTGACAAAACATTTACGAAGAAGTCTTGACAAAACATTTACGAAGAAGAAGTCTTGACAAAACATTTACGAAGAAGAAGTCTTGACAAAACATTTACGAAGAAGAAGTCTTGACAAAGTCTTTACGATGAAATTCATGAAAATTCAAGAGGTGAAAAATGAGGTGAAAAAACAGGTGAAATCTCACCTCTTCACCTAAAATATATTTTTGTCTGATTTTACGAAGAAGAAGTCTTGACAAAACATTTACGAAGAAGAAGTCTTGACAAAACATTTACGAAGAAGTCTTGACAAAACATTTACGAAGAAGTCTTGACAAAACATCTTCAGGGCTAGAAGGCACGAAGTGCCTGGAAGCCCCACTTCCTTTTTTTTTTTTTTTTTTTTTTTTTTTTTTTTTTTTTTTTTTTTTTTTAACATGTTTGAAAATCAATAATAACTACTTTTTTATGTTTTGAAACAAATTTTGCAAACTAGACTAATGTATATCAAAACAAACTCCTTTTCCTTCGTAAAGTCTCTTATTCAAATTTTTGATAGATTTTCACTCGATTTTGAGGCAGAAAAATGATAGTGAGACTTTACGTGGGAAAATATGTTTATTTATATCAAGAACGTGCAAAAATTAAAGCATTAATGTATATCAAAATATTTATATCATATGATATTCATAAAAGTGATCAAATAATGATGGTTTTGGCGGTTCAATGCAATTATCTTTTTCTGTGGTGTTTCCTCCATTAAGAATCAGTAATTCAATCAGTTGTTTATAATTTTTCCTCGATGCAAGATGGTAAGCTGTGGATTCATTTTTATCTTTTGCATGAATATCGGCACCATGTAGGATAAGAAATCTTGCAATTTCTAGGTTATTTGACTGTGCAGCAATATGAAGAGCTGCTTGACCATTATTGTCTTTTGCATTAATTACCGCTCCATGCTTAATAAATAGTTCCATTAAATCTATGCTATTTTCCTGTGCAGCTAAATGAAGAGGAGTTCTTCCATCATGATCTTTTACATTGATATTTAGGCCATTTGAAATAAGTAATTCTGCTATAGGGTGTCCAAAGGTGCGTTTAGCACAGCGCTCTATATGAGACTATTAAAGGAGATATATGCTGATTATAAATATATAATAAAAAATATGAATATATGTATATGATGAGTATGTTGTATTTTGGCGCCATGCCGGGATATAAAATGAATTTTGAGACAAGAGGCGGTTTCGCGGGAAATTTTGGCGGGATTTTTTTCATTTTTTTAATGAATCATAAAGAAAACATCCTCGCTCTTGCAAAAAAATGCAAAGACTGTAAAAAAATCTACGAGACATTGGTAAAATGCTTCGGTATGGATGCTCCTAGCTATTCCACTGTAACGTATCATGTTAGGATGTATCACTTCATGAACAAAAAGGCGCCCATCATAAAAATTAACAAAAAATCGCCGGATCAAAGAAAAATCAAAGCAATTCTTCAAGCGCTAGATGAAGACCCAAGAGCATCACTCAGAAGGATAGAGGAGATGACAAAGATACCACGTACAACAGTCAGTTATTATCTGCACAATTATTTGAACTACAAACTAGTGTATACACGTTGGGTTCCGCACAACCTTAATTCAGTTCAAAAAAAATCTAGAGTCCAATCTTCGAAAGAGCTCCTCTCTATATTGGGTGCGTATCAATCCAAGAAGTTTCGCTTTTTAGTAACAGGGGACGAGTCTTGGTTTCAATATGCAACAGAAGCCAAAATCATGTGGATCCCGAAGGATGAAAATCCGCAAACATTCCCGAAGAAAAAAATTAACACACCAATTATGATGTTGTCGGTTTTTTGGGGCGTGAATGGCATCATCGCAATTGATATTCTTCAAAAACCTAATACGATGAATGCTCAGTATCTAATTGACAATGTTCTTACTCAAATTATCAATTCTGATGAGTTTGAGAAATCCAAACAACAAAAACAAAAGTTTGCAATTCATTTTGATAATTCAAGAGTTCACAAAAGTCATAAGGTAATGAATTACTTGGTGGAAAACAATGTCAAAGTTGTTCCAAACCCAATTTATTCACCTGATATTGCACCCTCTGACTTTTATTTATTCGGCACGCTAAAAAAGAGAGTTGAAGGACGCGAATTCGCGAGTCCAGATGATCTTGAAAATTTAGTAAGAGAGCAATTTGAGCAATTTTCTCATGATGATTTAAAGCGTGTCTTTCAAGCCTGGATCGATCGCTGCGAACGCGTGATTGAATCCAATGGTGATTATATTTAAATAAACTTTATATATATGTAACTTGTTTATTTCTATTTGCAGTATTCAGGTTTGTGCTAAACACACCTTTGGACACCCTATATTACTTTTTTATTTGCCTTTGCTGCGCAATGAAGAAGAGTCTGTCCGTTCTCATCAACAGCTTTCATATCAGCTCCATGTGTAATAAGAAAGATAGCTTTATTTTGTTCTTGATAGAGTGTTAATTTAAAAAGTACGGTTTGACCTCTTTTATTCTTTGCATTTATATCTGCACCATGAGTAACAAATGATTCAAAAAATCCCTTTATGATGCTTTCTTCTGCTGTGAAAAGAGGAGTATTTCCATATTCATTCTTTGCATTAATATCTGCTCCTTGAGAAATAAAATATTCCATCATTTTTACAGAACTTCCTCTTGCTACATAATGAAGAACACCATTTCCATATTTATCTTTTGCATTAATATCTGCGCCATGTGAAATAAGGAGTTCTGCGAATTCATTAGTTTCGTGATTCGCTGCTAAAAGAAGTGGAGTTTCACCATTAATATTCTTTTCATTAATATTTGCACCACTAGAAATAAGAAATTCTGCAAGATCTTTATTTTTGTTTTGGATTGCATAATGAAGAACGGTTTCCCCATTAAGCTTGTCTTTTGTATTGATATCAACACCATGAGAAATGAGTGACTTTACTACATCCACAGAATTATGAATTGCTGCAACGTGAAATATAGTTTTTCCTATTAAAATTATACCATTGATATTTGCACCATGAGAAATTAGAACTTCTAATACTTCAACATTATTGTGAATTGCAGCCACATGAATAGGCGTTTCATTCATAGGCTTATTCTTAAGATTAACATCAATACCTTGAGAAATCAGGAATTCAGCTGATAGAGAAGAATTATATTTTGCAGCATAATGAAGAGCAGTATTCCTATTACAATCTACAGTATTGATATTTACACCATTAGAAATAAAGTATTCACATAATGAAGGAATATTAAAGAATGATGAATGCAAGAAGCATTTATTCATTTTATTGCACTGATCCAAATAAACAAGGAATGCATGGAGATTATTGTATTTAATGCACTGTTTTAGTTAAATCTTTAAGCTGCGTTCATTCATCAAAAATGTGATGAAATCAATGTTATGAGATATCATTGCAAATTCCATAAAATCCTGATAAATTTTAATCTTTTTCAAACATTCACTCATGATCTCTGGATTTCCACCCAAAAATGAAAGCTTAAGACAAGATTCAGTGATTGGTGAATTAAACTTTGTTATTAATAGTTTAAAGCAATTAACTGCTCCATAATAACAGCATAAATCAATGTATGAATATACGAATTCTTCTGGAAAGAATTTGCTACTTATGGTTTCATTTATGTCAAAAGATTTATTTTCTATGAATCCAATAAATGATTCATTATCATCATTCATAATTGCTCTCCAAATTGGGTTTTCTTCATGAACATTCATTGAATAATTATAATTTTTGATTTTTTCTTTGTTTTTCGCATCAAATACAAATACATATTCTTTATAAACGAAGTAATCAAAGATAGCAGTGATTTTTTTGATATGTTTTGGATGATATTCTTCATAAATTAATTTGAAAAGCTTCCAATATGAAGGAAAGAATCGATTGTTGTATATTATTACTTGAGAAATAATAAGAATAACACGTTCTGGTGTAAGGATCTTTGTATCGATCATTTTGTCTTTGATCATTTTATGAATTTTATGAATCTCCTCATCATTTGCTGTTTTTAATTGATACAGTGTCCTAACACAATTACAATATTCCATGCACAACGGCATAAGTTTATTGAAATGATCAGTTGTACCCTCTTTCGATGACATTAAACTATAAAAAATAAAAATTTTAGGATGGTAAATTTCATAGCATCATTCTATGAAATAGACTTAAAATTTTTCGATGATACCATAGATAATATGATACAAGAGGAGTAGATGAAGCTATTATCTGCTGGTTCATGAGTTCTCAAATCAACAGAATCTATCGAAATGAAAGTTTCATTGAAACAAGTTTTTCCTCATTTGATTAAATGTATTTCATAGTTGTAATGCTTATTCGTTTCATTTTATGCAAGAGATTTTTCATTTTTTTTATTGACAAATTTTTTCCATTGTTTTTTCAACGATAGAAGAAGTTTGGTCTATGAATGCTTATGATTTTGACACTTTTTACAAAATTTTAATAAAAAAACAATTTTTTTATAAAATGTCTACACAAAAAACAATTATAGCTCACGAAGGCGATGTAAATTGTGTTGCTCTCGGCCAAGCCACCGGAACTGTTTTTGCTACGGGCGGTGAGGACAGATTAGTGAACTTGTGGATGTATGGAGGAAAAAATCCAAAGGTTACACTTGGTCCGTTCCAATCAGGCGTCACGGCATGTAGATTTAATATGTACGAAGACAAATTACTCGGTGGAAACACAGGAGGCACAGTAATTCTTTTCGATTTAAATAATCAAAGAAATGAAGCAACTTGGTCTGCGCACAGATCAGTTGTTAACGACTTATGCTTTCATACACAGAATTCAAACATGATTTTGACTTGCGGATACGATGGAAAAGTAAACGTTCTCTCTAAATCGCAGAGACACCCTGTACAGTGGTATGCGAACCACCGTGGATCTGCCAATTCAATTGACATATCTCCAGATGGAAAACTCGTTGCTTCTGGCGGTGCAGACAAAACAGTTCGAGTTTTTGATCTTGCTATGTCAAAAGAATTGTTCAAGTTCCAATGCCATGAAGATGCAGTTACGTGCGTCCGATTTCACCCAACAGAACCAATTCTCGCTTCATGTGGCCTAGATCGCGCTGTACACTTTTACGACGTTAGTCTTGGTAAAGAGATTCAAGTTTCTTTCCCATTAGATTCGCATTCAATTGACTTAATTCGATTCGCTCCGGAAGATCCGGTTTTATTATCGGCAAGTACAGACTTTATTCGACTTCTCGGATGGGAACCAGCACAAATATACGGAAAAATACCTTTCGGAGCATTCAAACCTCGCGATTTATGCGTTGCTCAAAATGAGATTACAATTGCTTCAACAGAGAAAGACAGAGTCATCATAACAAAGCGTAAAACCGACGGACTACAACCATTTACGAATTCCAAGAACAAAAACAAGCAGCAACCAAAACATTTCTTCGATGATATACCAAATCCTTCAAATGGCGGCAGATCTACACCAAGACTCATCGATATGGAGTCTCTTGCGAAGAAAAGCCGCTCAATGAGTGAATGTTCTACAGGAGATGAGCCAGAACCAGAAATTACTCCACGGGGAAGGCTTCTCAGACCAGGATCCGTCGGAAACAAAGACTCTGAACAGAAATCCATGTCACATTCGTCATCAGGATCCGTTTACAACGAGTTTCGAAAAGATCGAACACAATTTATGACTTTTATGAACGAAAGATACTCAAGATTTGCTAGAATAAACGAAGCTCTTGATTCCCAATCGCTTCTCGACCTCCTGAAAGAAGCAGCCGAATCTACAAAACAATCTTCCGAAATTTTATCGATAATTGCCATGAAACCCGAAGCAATTACATTGGACCATGCTTCTTATATCATGCAGATAGCTGCCATTGCAATTAAAAGCAATCCTGACCTTGCAGTGAGTACAATTGAGACAATGATGCAATCTTTCGGCGCATTTGTCAGAGCGACCTTGGCAACACCTTCATCTGGGGTGGACTTGGCCTTTGATGAGAGGAAACAGAAGTGTAACGCGTTCACAAGCGCATTTAGACAAGTTGCACCGGCTTTGAAGCAAATCTCGAACTCATCAAGCGAAAGCTCTGATGCAGCAAGAGATTTGATTGAACAATGGAGAGTTTTCTTGAAGTAATTCTCTCTTTTGTTGAAATATGATTTTTTATATTTTGTTTTATTTTTGTATTGTTTGATATACATTAAAATTTATATATAGAAATGATTTGCAACAACTATTTTGTATTAATTATAAAATATCAGCTGCTTTCCATTCATATTTTATTTTTAAATAAGTTATTAAGATATACAGAGCGAGATTTAGCTAAAGTTTATGCTTATTTTTATGCATCATCATTTGTAGATACACAGTGATTATACTTCTTCAAAATGTTCTTTAACTATTGAGTGTAAAACTGTTTTTATTCAATTTACTGCTGATAAACAATAAAAAATGAGAATTTTTGAAATTAGCACAAAAATTATTAGGTATTTGATATAATCTTTCAATAAATGCTATTCTGGCTTGATCATATCCATTATGACCATTATTTTAATATGCATTAGAGGAGAAAGCAGGGATTACAAAGTTGCAAAAGGTGAGTTGAAAAAAAAAAATCAGGTTGGCAGCAATGAAATCATCATGTAATTGAATTATATAAGGATAATTATCTCAACTTTATTATATATACAATGATATCATTTTACTATCCGTATTATAAAAAAGAGTCGTCAATTTTTTGAAAAAAATTATCTTTATTCTTCTTCAGAAAGTTCAATATTAGTGAATAATAATATGTAAGAAAATTTTATATAAGAACAAAAGCATTTCGATATAGGATTCATAGTTTCAAGAACAGTTATTCGAGCTTGGCCATATCCATTGTGACCGTTTTCGAATGTATTCGATGTGAATCCAGGAATTCTCGAATTACCATTCAGAAGTGTTGTCGAATAAAACTTGAAACCAGAGAAATGGACAGATGTATCGAGATGTTTCATATTCGTTTCATTATAATCTTTACTTATCGCTTTACAATTTTCATGACCACTTATATATGAAGAACCTCCTGACCCACTTGCAACGCGTGAATAAACAGCACCACCACTACCACCTCCATAATAGCCACCACTACCTCCACTACCATGACTATTATGACCACAGTATCCTCCGATTCCAAAGCTCCCATTGATTCCGTATGAACTTGCACCTATTCCGTATAAATTTTGTTTTGCACCAATAGCCTGGGAAATTGAATGTCCCTCCACATTAGTGCAAATAGTTTCATCAGAACCATTTAGATCACCACCATGACCTCCTTGAATGAAGCCTCCACAGTCTCTATAATAGGCTGATCCGGCCCCACCAGCTGAAACCATGACTCATGATTTTAAACTTTCAAAATCATTCCAAGATCCGCTTAAAAGTCTTAAGTCAGAAGCTCCGCCGCCGGAACCGCCGGAAACATACAAGTTACGATCTGTAATACCTATTGTTCCATATCCGCCACCATTGAATGTTGGTGGACCACTCCATGAACCTTGTTCACCAAGATAAAGATATAGGGTTTCTGGGTGAAAAAGTGTCATGTAACCGGATGCATATGCACCTTTGCCTCCTTGACTATTATCTAAATATCCACCAGATGCGCCCCATAATTCAACTTTGTAGACGCCTGGATTGAAACGAAGTTGAAAGTAAGTACAATCTGCGTTCGAACATGGATATTCGAATTTGAAAACGTTTCCAGAGCGTGTTACAGGACTTGTCTTTGTTACCTTAGAAATATTCCCATAACTGAAGTGTATTGCTGACAATCAACATATATTGAAATTGATGCGTTTTGTCACTTTTCTGAACAAAATAATATTATTTTGAAATAAGGTATCAAAAAAATTTTGTTCAGAAATTTCAAAATCATCTCTTATTGAAATTTCAAAATAAGGTATCAAATCAAATATTTGGTACTATAACTTAATATATCCATTAGTTTTTTAATACTACCATTTATCCTTTGTATTTCTAAGCAGTATCTAGGAAAATTAGATCATTTCAAATTTACCTAGATACTGCTTAGAAGTCGATTTCTTAGAATCTGTAAAACATATCGAAATCATCCCTACAAATATATGCTGCCATGTTAAGGGTCCACTGTAAGGCCAAATAAGGTCTATCGTCGTCCCAAAAATATTGCTCGAAATGGTGTTTTACTAAGGCCCAAAACTTAAAAAAACACAAAAAAATTAACTTTACTCTTTTGAGATCCTTATCAGATATGCATCAATTTGATGCAGTATCGCAGTTCAAATCTGATTTTTTAATGTAGATGTACTCTAACATCCTTTAAAAAATGCAAAATGATATTAATTAAGCTTTTCATTTCTGTATCATACACGAAACAAAATCGCTCATTATACTAAAATTTATCAAAGTTTGATTAATGAAAAAATAATATCTAAATTTTTACATTGAGTCGGCTATTGATATGGTTAATATTAAATCTTGTAAAAATTGGCATTATCCAGAATAATACCCACTAAAATACACAATTTTTTTAAAAAATTTTATCAATTGTTATGGTATATCTTTATGATAATGAATAAAATGCTTATTTTTCATAAGTAAATACATAATTTATGCTTAAACACAAAAAATAACACGAAAATTTTTGGCCAACATATCTAAACTAAGGATAATGGTTTGAATATATAAACAATAATACTTTGTCCAGGGAATTAAATTTGTGCTATCCAATTGTCAATTCTTTGAATTTTTTTTAAATGCAAGATATCCCGGCATTAGCCTCAATAAATATATATATTATGCATCATAATATTAGTTTGTAATGGCATTAAAGCGAAATTCCTAATTTCTTCTCAATTAAATTCCTTGAAAAACATTGGAATTAATGATTGGAAATAGGTCAAAAAAATTCCTAATATAAAATTTATACTTAAATTAAAATCAAAATTCGAAAATATCTATTTTTCAAAACACGCATCCAAAAGCGAAAAAATTCGAAAAAATCATGTTCTTATAAAACTCACTGATTTTGCAATTTTTATGAGATTTGAAGTGATAGAATATATTACCATCTTATTGAAACATATGCTTCATTGTTGTATTCACATAATATTAATCAGAACACTAGGAAAAGTGGATTTTCGAAAAATGACGATAACGATTATTTGCAAATCGCCTCTCAATTTTGAGAGACTTTCAATTTTTACAGTGGACCCTTAAATAAGACTAATTGACTAATACTGTTAATAGTTTACTATCTATAGTTAAATATATATATATATATTGCCATAACAAGAAGAACTCATTACTCATTTCAATCTACTAAAAAAATTCAAGAAATAATTATTGCTGATTAAAAAAGTTGAGTTGAAACAACAACCATAGTTTGACGTTTGCAGTGAAGAACCAATTATGGAAAACTAATTGAATATTATCCAAATTTCAGATTCAACACATTAAAAAATATATTAACAATATTGAAATATAAATATTAGTTCTTCAGAAAGTTCAATATCAGTGAATAATAATATGTAAGAAAATTTTATATAAGAACAAAAGCATTTCGATATAGGATTCATAGTTTCAAGAACAGTTATTCGAGCTTGGCCATATCCATTGTGACCGTTTTCGAATGTATTCGATGTGAATCCAGGAATTCTCGAATTACCATTCAGAAGTGTTGTCGAATAAAACTTGAAACCAGAGAAATGGACAGATGTATCGAGATGTTTCATATTCGTTTCATTATAATCTTTACTTATCGCTTTACAATTTTCATGACCACTTATATACGAAGAACCTCCTGACCCACTTGCAACACGTGCATTAACAGCACCTCCGCTCCCACCTCCATAATATCCTCCACTTCCACCACTACCATGATAGTGGTTACCACAGTTTCCACCAATTCCAAAACTCCCATTGATTCCCCAAGAACTTGCACCAATTCCATATAAATCTTGTTTTGCACCAATAGCCTTGGTAATTGTTGCAGCGAACGCAAGAGTGCAAATAGTTCCATCTGAACCAATTAAATCACCACCATGTCCTCCTTGAATGAAGCCTCCACACTCTCTATAATAGGCTGATCCGGCTCCCCCAGCTGAAATCATGACTCGAGATTTAAGACTTTCAGAATCATCCCAAGGACCACTCATGAGACGTAAGTCAGAGGCACCGCCTCCAGAACCACCAGATACATAATAACTTCGGTCGGATACACCTATTGTACCTTGTCCACCACCATTGAATGTTGGTGGACCACTCCATGAACCTTGTTCACCAAGATAAAGATATAGGGTTTCTGGGTGAAAAAGTGTCATGTAACCGGATGCATATGCACCTTTGCCTCCTTGACTATTATCTAAATATCCACCAGATGCGCCCCATAATTCAACTTTGTAGACGCCTGGATTGAAACGAAGTTGAAAGTAAGTACAATCTGCGTTCGAACATGGATATTCGAATTTGAAAACGTTTCCAGAGCGTGTTACAGGACTTGTCTTTGTTACCTTAGAAATATTCCCATAACTGAAGTGTATTGCTGACAATCAACAAAATTATCTATTGATGCGTTATGTCACTTTTACAAACCTTTAATTAAACAAATATAAATTATTTTGTCACTTTTTCAGAAACAAATTCAAACAAGATATTTTAGAAGAACATCAATTACATATGATCTTAATACCTTATTGAACATAATGAAACTTGCAATATATCAAAATAGCTCGGTAATTTTTTTAAAATTGATGTGTTTATAATATTAATAATAAAAAGTATATATTTTCTTTATTTTTAGTATACACGGTTCCATTGGGGATCATCACCGACTTTGTATATTCTGACAATCCAGTTCTTTGTTGTGAATGCTTCTGTGAACTGTGACATTGATATATCTTTGATATTTGGAATAGAAGTTCTTCTAGTCAAATCATAACCAGTAGGGAATTGTGGGTGTGGCTGGTAGTACTTGTAGTTATTGTAGCAGAACTTGAACATCATAGAAAGTGTCATATTCTTTGTCATTGATTCACCAACGATATGTCTATAAGGAATCTGATACATTTCACCTGTGATGTTATCAAATGTTTGGTGTGCAATTCTTGGCATCCACAAGAACTTGTTGATATCATCACCAGAATACTGTGCGGCACCTCCGAAAATAACTAACATGTACTTAACATTCATAAGTCTTGCAATTCGCCATGAAATTGGTTCTGGAGATGACATGGCCATGCCAATGATGCCAATGTGTGTGAAATTGTTCGTGTTGCCATCAGCAATACAACCTCTGTTACCCATACTAGTGATCTGGTAGCCGTAATCCCACCAACTCATTACAATGTCGTCTCTGTAAGTGTTTTCGGTCAACCATCTGTAGCCTTCTCTGTAATCATCAGATGTCTCGACACCACGTGGGGTCATGATGTTGAAATGAAGGTGGTCGCCTGAATACGAGTAGCAGGCGAAGTGTGTGGCGTGGAGAACGCCGTGTAAACAGATAATAAATGTTAATATTATCATTGTAAGGGAAACTGGGTGTAAAAATGACTTTTGCTTAAAGGATTCGCGAAGTAGTTGATGAATAGCAATGCCTGCAACGAAGACTAATGCTGGAGTAAAGACTAAAACTAATCGAACCATAATAGAAGCGAAATATAAAGTTGAGAAGCCGTAAATGAAGAGTAATAATAAGGTTTCGGCGCGCTTGAGTTCTGTTTGGTCTTTTGTTTTTTGTGTGCGAATGAGAGATGAAATAACAATATAAGCACCAAGAGGGAAGAAAAAGATGAAGAGCTCGCAGTCTGAATAATACTTAACCCAAGCAGTAGGCTGGTGCTCGGCAACGGAGTTGATAATAGGTACATTTTTGGCGGCATAAGTTGGATCGAACATTTGGAGCAGACGGCCGGAGAATCCGCCAAGAAGACCTGTTGACATACCAACGGTGATCATAAGTAAGAGGAAAGATGGGAGAATTAAGATGGATGTGATTGCGACAGAATTATAAGTTGTAGGAGAGAAGCGAGACTTGATAAATGTGAAGAATCCCCAAATCTGCATAACAAGGAAGGTGCCGAGCATGGCAAAGTGCTCTGGTTTCTTAAGGATTTTGTCGCCAATGAAAGGAATTTGGGCTGTAAGGATTGAAGCAACAATAAACCATATGGAGTATGTAATATGAAGGCGCCAGGAGTATCTGCCAATGGCAACAAGACCGGCAGCGAATAATGGGATGCAATTTGAAACAAAAACGTAGCCACCCCATGTAAGAGCAAGATATGAGTATGCGAAAGCAGCAATAACTGAAAGGAGAATGGAGCCAGACTTCAATGCAAGGGCAAATGTGTAAAGTGATAAAACAATGATAAATAAGCCAATGCACTCGTAATCATAGGCACCACCGACACTACGACTGATCATACCTGGAATAAAGCTAGTAATGGCTCCGAATAATGTACCTAATTGTGCTGATCCGACAAGTTCTCCGAATAAGAAAGCGACAAGTACGGACAAAATTGAAACGGATGGACCCATGAATACGCAAATATTACGAAGATCGACAATAATATGGATTTTTTGAAGAGCCCATTTGACAATGGCAGATGTATACATTAAACCAGGATATGCTGTTTCTCCTACTGGTCTTCCTTGAGGGTACCATGAAATATTATCGAACCAGCCGAGAAATTCATATAAACCATGTGTGTCAATGTATTGTGTGCATCTCCAGTTGAAATGAGGATCGAATTCGTGAATAATTGGCTCATTTACAACATTAGCGAATTGACGTATAAGAAACGCAAGTAAACAGCTTAAAAGAAGAGTAATAAGCTGTATAACTTTTACTGTGTTTCCCATTTTTTATAAACTTATAAAAGTGTCAAATAATTATTAAAAAGTGACTAGAAAAACCTCATTTTCCTTGGTTTTGATTAAAGATATATCATGAATTTGGCAATCAGAGTGTTGACCAGTTCTTGTATTATGAGGATGAACTATCTTATCAAGTGTAATTACTCAATTTAAGCATTTTTATCTTTTCATTAATATTGATTTGCTATTATTTATATATAAAGATTATAGGATATAAGGTTTTAGGACTATATAATATTATGGATCTAGTCATGTGCATTACCATCTGAATCTTATGAAATTATATTGACCTTTGTAGATATAAAGTAACAATGGCGTTTATTCATACAAGTCTTTAAACCAATAACAATTCATAATTTTAATTCTGCCTTTTAAATTTTTGTGGCTCTCCTAGGATGGCTGGCAGATTCATAAAATTTAATCTTATTATCGAGCTCTAATAACTCTTTTGCATATGATTTCTGGTTTTGTTTTCTTTCAAGTTTTAAGAATTCTAATTCCTTCTGTGCATTTTCAATTTGCGCATCTAAACTAGCTTCTTGTTCATGTAATTGCTTAAGTCTTTCGAGTTGCTGCTTTGTTCTAACTGCAAGAGGATCTAAAGAATTATCATTGGTAAACACAACGTCGTTTTCTAATTGCCTTGTTCTATTGAGTAAATGCTCAATAACTTTGAGTACTTGATACTGATCTTCAATTTCGAACCATCCTAACTCCTGATTAACTGTGTTTGGCTTCCTGGGAGGTAGTTGTGTAATCCCAAGGTCTTTTAAGTCATGCTGAGCATGCCTTGTAGACTGGATTTTTATATCATGATGAGGCTCAAATTCAACAAAAGCCATTTTAGAAAAATTAAACGTACATTTTCTCCTAAATTATGAATCAACCTATTTTGATGAACTAAGAGTCTCAATGATCAACTAATTCATTGCCATTCTGTTAAATGATGTTTGAAGAAATCAAATTTATTGAGATTATCAAATCAAAACATAAATTAATAATTGTTTGAGAAAATGATTATATATGATCTACAATATGTAAATATTGTATAAAAATCAGAAAAGACTCAGAAATGGAGAAAATCTTCTGTAAATGACACTAGTGAGTCAAAATGTAATTTCATATTATCCTCAAAAATATGAATCATTCATAAATTATGCCATTTTCTAAACCTGACTGATCAAACCGTAAATTCTATCAAAATTTTTAATATCCGAAATATATATTGCATCAATATTATAATCATTTTGCTTTTTTTACAAAATCTTCATTGAGAGGATATAAATTTTTTATCGGGAAAAATTTTACCTCAATTTTTTTAATGAGTTATTCGGGTAGTCGTGGACGTGGTTCAACTCAAAACTTACCACCGAAAATGGCTCATAAAGGTGGAAATCCAAAACCAACTCCTTCAACACAACAACTTTATTTATTCGGAAATAACGCAAATCATAGTCTTTACGCCAGCCAACAGCAAGTTCAGCCAATATACCAACAAGATCCAAAATATCAACAATACAACTCGAAAACAAAGTCAAGAGTTAGTATTCAGCCTCAATACCAACAATCAGTAAATCCATCCAATCAAAAGCGACCAATTATACAACAAGGCCCTCAAAAAACGGCTGTAAAAGAAGAGCCCAAAGATAGCAGGAATTTGTTCGGAAATTCTCTGAATAATCAAAAACCTCCTCTTGCTTTCAACATCGTTTCTCGTGGAAATATTCCAGGACTTGTATTTCAACAGATCTTAGTTAATTCTTAACTTATTTACCTTAGATTTATGCCTAAAAATTGTTTGATGCTATTCTTTTTTTCTTTACGAAATCTCAGAAACTAACTAGAAAATTTCACATTGAATTTTTTGAGAGAAAAAAATATCAAAATAAAAATGATGAACCGCCACCTTGGCAAGGTGAAATTCTACCATTAGACCAGCGGTGCTTCACATTTAATATAGTTTCAAATTATTTTTAACCATAATATCATATTCATTATCATTAAAATAATCTTTTTCAATTAAATAATAAGTAATATGTTTCAACAAATAAAAATATGATTAACAAAACAAACAAAATTATTTATTATCTATAATTTTTCAAATAATTTAATTATTTCTATAAGATTCTCTGTTGCTTCATTAGATTTGATTAAATTTGAAATGCTTTCCAAGATTCCCTCTTTTCCTACTAGATTCCTCTTGTTAATCTCAACAAAAGACTCAAAGTAATTGTAATCCAAAACAAACAAATTTACGAAGTCTTTGTTACTAATAGCAACTTTAGACTTCTGCTTATTTCTGAATGTTTCGAAAACATACTCAAAGAGTTTTGTCAGTTTTTCCATGTTAAACAAACCCAATATCATTGTATCTCTATTTTTCAAATCGATGAAAGGTTCTTTCATGAATATTCCCATTAAAAGTTTTGCATCAGAATAAGTCATTGGATTTGTTAATCCGAAATAGCAAAAATCTAAACAATAATCAAGATATTTCAAAAACAAATCCATGTTTCTCAAAACACTTATAAACTCTTGAAGAGATTTAACTAAAAATTTGATAATTTGATTGAGCAAATTCGGGAACAAAACAAGTCTTTGCAAATCATAGAAACCAATTAAATCCAAAAATGAATTAAAAACAGTAACAATAGAATCCTGTTTGTAGAATGTGAAATAACTATAATTAACACCTTTGAATGACAACATATTCAACATTATTTTGAAAATGTCTAAAAGGATTTCATCAATTTCTTCGATTTCTTTTCCTTCTTCCATCAAAAAATTAATTAAATGTGTCAAGAAATTTGACAAAAACGTAACAAAATCATATCCCAAAAATGATTTATCACTGAATTTAAACGAAACTTCACTTAGATTTGAAAGCAAATTCACTTTCAATTCAATGAAACTGGGAAGTTCCATGAAAAGTGACAAACTGTTATTTTTAAGATATTCCATAAACCATTTCAACAAATTCAGATGAGACATATTATCAATATCAGTCAAAAATCCAATAAACAAACAATAAAATTCTTGTTTTTGACATGTAAAGTTTTGTAAAGTCATATTTTCCATGAATTCAGGTAAAGAAGACATTTTCTTGAACAACAATTTGTATAATTCAATTAAAACATCAATGTCAGAAAATGTCAAATTTGATAGTTTTTGTAAAGTGTCAGATGTCAAATTTTGAATAGCGGAGAAAGCCAAAATTATATTCTTTTGGAGTTCTGGGATATCGAAAGTAACTAAATCGGTGAAAAGCCTATCTTCAAAAATTAAAAATATGTGTTGTTCATTTTCAACAGAAGATTTGACAAACAGAGCTATTGAATTTTCAATAAACGGATTTTGTATTTCAGAATTCTCTATAAAATCCAAAACTATTGTTATTATTGCTTTCTTATCACTACTGAACTCTGTATCCGTTGAATTACATTTTTGTATTTTGACACATTTATTCACAACATCAATAAAAGTGACAATTTTTTTCTCATTCAAATTTTTCAAGTCGATTTTTGTTAAAACTTCATAGAACGAGTGATGGAAAACCTGGAAAAGGTACTGTACGGGTGCTACAAGCTCTGAAATATCTATTTCTCTATCAGTGTAGTTAGTAAACAACAATTTCAAGTAAATCTCAACAGATTCGTGCGAAATTTCAAGAAATTGTCTTCTTACATCAGTCAATGCTTGATTTGATGATGCGTTGGCAATCATTCCGATAACAGAAACAAGTTCCATGATGAAATCCTGTGGGAATTGCGAAATTGATGTTTTTTGATCATTTTGGAAATAATATCTTACATTTTTTGAGATATAATCATGTATAATGCTGGCAATTTGAACAACATATGGATCAATCTCAGTAATCTTCTTTGATAATGAACTCAAACAGTCAGAAATGTAGAAAATATCTAATTCAGTATATTTTTGATGTAACAAATGAATAACGAACTTGATAATGATGGAAACAACTGATGTTTGACCTTTGTAATGAATACTATCTAGTAAATAATTGTCAGGTAACTCTGTTCTGTCAATTAGAACTCTTTGTGTCAATTGATTGCATGGATTCAGCATAGAAGGTGATAACTGTGTCAGTTCCCTTAGAAATTCATATCCATTCTTGCGATCTTTGAGATATAAAATTTGATTGAGTAATTCTTTGATTAAATTCGCATCTGAGACGAATGTTTGAATTGTATCGAACTCTTTAGACACAATTGTAGCTAAACAAAGGAATGCTTCGTTTCTAATCATGTCATTTTTAATATTATTTATGCATAAGTTAATTGTAGCTTTAATAAAGTCCTCTGGTACTAAGTTGAAGCTAAAGTATGGTTTTTCGTTGTCTGAAATAAATTCTTGCACTAATATTATTGATATTAAAATTTGTTGAGTATTTTCAGTGTGAAGTATGTAATTGAAGAATTCATTGATACACTTTGGGTGATTTGTTAATGTTTTTGAGATTGCTGAGCCGAGTTGATGAGAGGCCAAAATTGAAAGTTTAAATGTCGAAAAAATCGAATTTACGAGTGAAGAAAGGAATTCATTCAGTTCGTTATCTTCAAAATTCTGCGATATTCTCTGAAATATTATCGAGAAACAGCGAGTTGCGAAGATTTGAAGTCTTTCTGAAGTAGAATTTTGAAAAATGCTCATGCACACATCGAGATTCGAGTCATTGTCACAGAATGTTTGAATGAAATCATTGTGGGACTTTGGATCCGCGAGATTTTTTTCAATTTCATCAAACATAAAAGAAATGTCAAAAATTTAGCCTCGAATTTAATTGAATAGTTTACAATTCAGGAGATGGAGTTGGTCAAGCATCGTCAATGTAAAGTCTCTGTAAAATGAATTGAAAAGATGAGAAACTGCATATATACAGGATGCTTAGCATTATTAATAAGGTAATTAAAATGGTAAAAAATTGAATGTGTTCTGATTTTTTTTGGTAATTTTTTTGAGAGTTTGGACATTGAAGAACATATTCATGACATATTTCATTTGATTTTGATATCATTTCATTGGGTTGAACTGATATTATGTTATTAGATATGTTTTTTCTATCGTTTTAAGCAGATTTCGAATTTAATTACAGATAAAAATCAATGATTTAGGTTTATTATATAATAATATTATTTAATATACAATACAAACATAAAAATTATACAGCAAAAAACATGAAGAACGCTGATATATGTGTCAAATACTGATCAATTAATTCATCAGTGCATGTTACAGAGAGTGAGCTCATTATACTTGTCTTTTCCTTTTTATTGAGCTTCATAAATATCGAAATTATGTCAAGATCGAGAATATTTCTGGCTGGAATTGTCAAATTCCTAAAAACATAATGCATTGCGCCTGTTTTCTCTTGGAGATATGCTGCTGTCTTCAACTCAATCTTCTTAAGAAATTCTGCTTCCATTTTAAGTTGTTCGTTGTTGATTTCTAAAATTGCACCTAATTCACCTGAAATCGTGGAATACAAAGATAGATTATTTGTACATTTCTTATATGCAACACCAGTTATGGGGTATCCTGTGTTCAAAGATGTTTTTGCAATTAAAGAAGAAAAACGAGGATTCGAATCAGAATATATGGCAACATTACCTTCTCTATCACCATATATTGCACAGTTATCTTTGTATTCGCAGCCAAAAGTGATTTTCCTTGGATAAGGATTTGTAATTATTCTAACTTTGTCATTTGACAGTGATAATCTATACATGCATTGATTCTTTCCAAGGACAAATGTACAGCTATTATTTAAAATACTATTTTTCAATCTTAATTCTGGAGATTGAATTTTTGTCATTAATTGGAACTTTTCTTCTGCAATTTGATAGAAATATAAAGAATTCTCGTATTCATAAACGAATCCATTCTCTATCAAGGCAAAATTATATGTTTCTCTTGGAAAATCAAAAGTAAACTTTTTCTCAAATGAACTTTCTAGTTTGTTGACCGTTAACTTTCCTACCATCAACTTGCAGTCGCCTCCTTTAGAAACAGAAATGTATAAATATGAATTATTTTTATCATATTTAATAACTCTGATTTTTTCGTAAGTCTGATCAGATGATGATAATGTAAATATTCTTTTCAGCTTCTGAATTTCTCCATAAGTGATAAACAAATAGATTGTATTTTTATCTCTGAAAATCGTGCAGCCAGAGTTTTCAAGGGAGATCAAATTATCTATTTCATGCTTAGGAAAATCGTATTCGATCAACGTAAATAAATCTGAGTTCAAATTAATTTCAAAATTAACAATTTCGCTTTCAGAATTGATTGTAAGGAATTCATTTTCTTCAACAGCCATGAAAATATCAGTAAAATCATTTTTCTCTAACGGCTTAATCATATTATTATTTTTGAAATCGTAAATTATCCAGATATCATCAGAAATAGCATAAACAACATTTCCATTTTTCTTAATCTTAATTTTCTTGTCACCAATTTTCATATACTGCGAAGTTTCGAAAAATTCATAAGAATCGTTAAATTTTCCGATTGATAAATAGCCATTTTCATATCCAATGACTAGTGTTGTGTCATTTAAGAATGCCATATCTGAAACAAGTGCTGGTAAACTCATATTTAACTTATCTTCATCACTTTTTGCAATTAATTTTTTCAAAACTGTTGCTAAAACAATTGGAGTCTTTTTATTTGGCGGAAAACAGCAAGCAGTTACATAGTTTTCATCTTTCTCGGTTAATATCTTTAATGAATCTTCGTTTTTATTGAGAGAAATGTACGTGAAATAATAAGAACTCCAATAAATCATCAAATGAAATTTATTTGCTGCATAACTTACGATTTCTCCATGAGAAGGCAAATTCTTGATTACTTTGCCATCTTTGTAGACTTTGTCCTTAGTTATCTGTATGATTATATTAGTATTATCAACTAAAGTAAATGATTTGGCAAAAATTGTCAAAATATTTGCATTAAAATTGTCAAAAAGTGCAATCAAATTTTCTTTGTTGAAAATTAGAGAATTTTCATGATTAACGAAAATGAAATACTTTTCATTAGATAGTTCAAAAGGAATTATATTTTGTATATTCTCCAAATTGGCAATCATTCTATTTTTCTCGGTGATTTCTAAACCGAATTTTCTTGAAATAATTTTCGATTTTGACGAAGAAATAAATTCTCCTTTTCTGAATGGCTGCAAGTCCATGTATCCAAAGTACCAATCAAACACTTTTATGACTTGTTTGTTAATGAAATTATATAGAAATGATTGACCAAAATTGACAGTGACAATAACAAAAAATAAATTGACAAAAAATATGTTATTCGCACCAGCAAATTGCGAAATATATTTCACATCAAAGTTCATCCCAATTGAGAACAAAAAACCGTTATTTGTCAAGATGAGGTGAAGTGAAGTATCAATTTGACAGTGAGCAATCACAACTCCAACATTTTCTTGTGATTCTTTTGGAATTTCGTTGAGATTTGTCGAGGAAATCGATGAATTTTTCAAAAGATGAATCATTTCATTTTCACAAATAATTATTTGGTCAGTTTCAAATGGAAAAACCATTGTTGCTTTTCTGTCAAAAGAATAAAATTCTTTTCTTTCGAAAGGAGATTTCCCATAAAGGACTAAGTTCATTAAACCTCCTTCCACTCTTATCATGGAGTCTGTGTCTTTTCTGATGCATTGGAAAACAATATTTGTCGGTTTTTCTAAAAAAGTGACTTCGAAATTTGGAAGAGAAAAACTGCAAATTGCTCCGTTTGTTGAAGAGACAACAAGGGATGTTCTGAGATATGATATATAAGAAGAATGGATGCAAAGTTCAGGAATGTCAATGGTCTTGACAATTACAAATAAATTGTGCTCTGAACTATAAATTAATTGAATTATTTTTGATTTTGTTAACTGAAAGAAGGAAGTCAGGTCTGCAATATCTGGACCGGAATCTACACTATTTACTTTGCAAAAGAAGTCTTGTCTGTGGATTGATTCAAAACTGGTTTCATTATTTTGCAATTGCAAAGAAAAAACTTCAAAATAAGTGTGGAAATTAGCAAGTACCTGTTTCCCTTGGATATCCGGGAGAAATACACCAGGAATCACGTTGATTAAATATGATGGTCGCTGAAAAGTCTGGTGAATAAACTCCATAAGAAAAGTGACATCTCCGAATAAAACACCAGAGCCAATTTTAGCACAATTATAAAAATGGAAAGTCTAATAATCACTAACTTGATTTTATTGACAAATATTCATGATTTTTGAAATTTCGATGCCAATATTGCGTAATCCTGATTTATTTGATAGCTAATGATGAAACATATAATATTTTGCAACGATATTATTGCTGCATGTTCTTCAGCCGAAGTTTTCCTGCAACATGGCACTGCAGCCCATCTACTCGCAAAATACAGTTTAATTTTACGTTTCTACATAAAATGTCGCAACAAGTTATATTTATCATAAGGATGTCAATTCGGAAAATTGTTTTCGTTTTAGGAGAATATAATTTTCTATTTGGAAAATTTAAAAAGTGAGACGCGCAGGATTCGAACTTTTTTAAAAGTTGATTTAAATATATTCTAGTGTGATTTCTAAGGATAATATCATATTTAAAATAAGAATATACTAGTTTGGGTGGTATGATATTTTCGATAAATTTGAGAATATGTACGTTTAGGGCATCAAAAGTGTCAATTCGCTCAGCGAAAGCTGAGCTAGCTTCGTTCTCGAAAAAATAGGGAAGAAGTGAAGGAGAGTGATACAGATGTTGACACATTCATATAATTTCAACAAATTTGATCAAATTGAAATTCAATGAAATTCAATTCACTTCATATCCTTCAGTCAGTACATTGACATCCTTCTACATCACAATGATAACTCGGGAATCAATAGTTCTACAACTAACTCAGAAAAAAAAACAAGATTTTTACTTCCAGCTTGCAGCTTTTAAAAAGTTTCGATGATAAAAATCACTCTACTCTTGTTTATAGATATGTGATGATAGTAGGTAAACATATTCTTATCGATTTTAATAAAAATATTTTTACGAAAATCTGAACCAATTACAGAGTTATTTATAAAGTTTATGATAACTGTAATTATTTCATCTTTGTTTTATATTTGAATAAACAATTTAATTTAAATTGCATAATATTTTTTGGTTGAAAGACAGGAAACTTAGTTGAGTTTGTATTATTTTTATCGTTTAATTCATCGTATCAGTGAGTGATCCAGATATTTAAGATATTTAGAAAAAAATTATTAATTTGATTAACAAATTTTAATCAAAATAGCAAAAATCTATTTGATAGCTGTAAACAAACAATAATTTTTATTTCAAGCAAAATCACTTATTTTCATCTAAACGTATAAAATTGTCAATTTTATAAAAATAAATTGAAAATCTCAAGAAATGTAAAGGAGAGTAATATTTTTCAATTTTCTTTTTTTCTTTGTCTCAAATATTTTCTGTTGGGAATTTTCTTGTTATCAAAAAATAATTTTAATATTTGTTTATTTTATTACATACAATAAAATTTTAAAAACTCTATTTCTTCTCAAGAAACTTTTTTTCCTTCATATGAAGAAACATTTTGTTCTCCATTCGATACTGAGTCTAAATCTCGATTTTTGAATTTTCTTCTTTCCAAATTTCTTTTTTCCAAATTAGAAGTTTAAGGGTCCACTGTAAGGCCAAATAAGGCCTATCGTCGTCCCAAAAATATTGCTCAAGATGGTGTTTTACTAAGGCCCAAAACTTAAAAAAACACAAAAAAATTAACTTTACTCTTTTGAGATCCTTATCAGATGTGCAACAATTTGATGCAGTATCGCAATTCGAATCCGATTTTTTAATGTAGATGTACTCTAACATTCTTGAAAAAATGCAAAATGATATTAATCAAGCTTTTCATTTCTGTATCATACACGAAACAAAATCATTCATTATACTAAAATTTATCAAAGTTTGAATAATGAAAAAAATAATATCTAAATTTTTACATTGAGTCGGCTATTGATATGGTCAATATTAAATCGTTTAAAAATGGGCATTGGCCAGAATAATACCCACTAAAATACACATTTTTTTAAATTTTATCAATTTGTTTTGGTATATCTTTATGATAATGAATAAAATGCTTATCTTTCATAAGTCAATACAGAATTTATGCTGAAACACAAAAAATCACACGAAAATTTTTGCCGAACATTTCAAAACGAAGGATGATGCTTTGAATATATAAACAATAATACTTTGTCCAGGGAATTAAATTTGTGCTATCCAATTGTCAATTCTTTGAATTTTTTATAAAATGCACGATATTCCGGCATTAGCCTCAATAAATATAAACTACATGCATCACAATATTAGGATGTAATGGCATTAAAGCGAATTTCCTAATTTCTTCTCAATTAAATTCCTAGAAAAACTTAGGAATTAATGATTGGAAATAGGTCAAAAAAATTCCTAATATAAAATTTATACTTAAATTAAAATCAAAATTCGAAAATATCTATTTTTCAAAACACGCATCCAGAAGCGAAAAAATTCGAAAAAATCATGTTCTTATAAAACTCGCTGATTTTGCAATTTTTATGTGATTTGAAGTGATAGAATATATTACCATCTTATTGAAACATATACTTTATTGTTACATTCACAAAATATTAATCAGAACACTAGGAAAGGTGGATTTTTGAAAAAAGACGATAACGATTATTTGCAAATCGCCTCTCAATTTTGAGAGACTTTCAATTTTTACAGTGGACCCTTAATTCAAATTTTCAATAGTTTATATATTTTCTCAAACCGTCTCAGATTTTCTCACTTTTTAGGGATTTTCTCTCAAAATATACAAAAATAGTAATATCAATACATGTGTCTAATATACTTTAAACCCATCGTGACAAAATTCAAAAACGAAGAGTTCTTCTCTCCAAATTTTTTTCAAAATCAAAAAAATGAGATAAAAAAGTACGTTTGGAAAATTCATTTTTAGCATTTTAGGAATTTTCTCACTTTTCTTCCAAATTGACATCCTTATTTATCAATAAAGGAATTTAAAAACAGTTTCATCGATTGGCGAATTCGCTAATTAAGCCGATGAATTAGTAAAATTGACTTTCATCGAATCTCTAAGAGTAATTTGGCTTATTTAGCAATATAAAACAAACATTTAGTAGAAAATAAAGAGAAAAAAATAGTAATAATAATAACACTTACTTCCAAGATGGATATCAATACAAAATAAATAGATAAATTTTAATTAAACTTGGGAATGCTTCAAAGATCCATAAGATTTGCATGAATCCATAATTGATTCATATTGTTTCTTGTTGATGATCTTTCTATTGACAGAATCAACTAATTTTCTTTGAAATGCTCCTTTAAGTTGAGTTTCTGCAATTTGGTAATTGTTTGAATAATCAGTGATTTCAAGGCAATGAACATATGCAGCAATAAAATCAGATTCACATGAAAGATTTGAAGAATTCAACTTATCTACGAATATTGGAATTAAATTATCCATAATATCTGGTACTAAATCACTGTTTCCATCCTCTGAACCCCAAAACCAACCAGCACGAATCCATTTCATATCTATTAAAGGTAATCTTGAGATAAAATCCCATCTAAGTACTTCAATTTCAGCGAAGTTGGATAGTATACTCGAAACACTTTTGGATAAGCCGGATTGCTTGTATTGAATAGGATCTAATTTTCTTAAAGTTCGTAGCCTCTCAAGAACTCCACTTGGATCAAGGAATTCGTCTTCAACCTCGTCCAAATCTGCTGGGGCATTAGCAAAGAAATCGAATAGTTCTGTGAAAAAAAGTTTTTGTTGTAAAATTACTTCTTCAAGCGATTTTTGACCTTCTAATAGTTCTGAGTTCAGCTGTGCATATTTCTTATGCTCATTTTGTAAATCTATTTCTAATTTATTGATTTCTTCTTCATTATTTCTTTTTGAAATCTTCATTGATAAACCTTGGAAAAGAAATACTAAATCCATTAAGGATGAATCGCTATTCTCATCTTCTGAGTAACTTGAATAGTCCGAATAATAAGAATCTGAATATGAATAATTTTGATTTTCTTCTTTTTGTGCAATTTCTTTTGGTTTCAAGAATGGCACAACTTTTGAAGCAGAAAATTTTGTATTTTTTGCTGTGTTTTCTGTAGTTGATGCTAATGAATTTACATTTTGAGAATTATTTGATGGCAAAGACTTATTAACACTCTGAATATTTTGAACCTGAGGAATTTCACTAGCAATTTGCATTGCTGGCATATTTTGAAGACCTGTGTTTGAAACGGGTCTCCTCTTCATTCATACAATATTCAAAACTGAGAAATACCATTAATTAAAAGAGCGTTATGTTTATGTTTTTTATTGTTTAGGTATTTTTGATAGTATTTTTCCGTTTTTGTATTATAATACAGTTTCATGTGCACAATTGAATATAAGGAAAGGAGAAAGTGGCTTCAGAGATAAAGTATTTATATGTGTATGTAAAATAATAATAATATTTTATTGACAAAACAATTTAATTCAAATCTATAATAAATGGATGGTTAATTAATTGAAGAGGCAACAATCTTCTTGATGGATCTGTGCAAAGAGTGGCTTGTGCAAAACTGAGAGCTTTATCATTATGAATTAAATTTTCAAGGGTTGGAAATGAGTTGTAGATCTTTCTGCATTCATCATCGAGCATTGAAATGTCACATTTTCCATCTCTAAAGATCGGAATTTCCGATTTCTGACTTTCATCGAGTAAAAACAGAGGAAATTGGCCACCGAGCTTTTCGATCAATGCGTAATGTAATAATCTGTTATTATGAGTAAAAAGTTTTCTTCCAGTTATTAATTCAACGAAAAGAATGCCAAGTTGCCAGATATCAATTTCATAACTCCATCTCGTTGAAAGAAGCTGCTCAGGAGACTGTATACGTTCTGGAGTTAATGAAGTGACATGCCATATGTTGCCATTTGATGCACATGATAGAGAATTTATTCTTAATTGAACACTTCGTTCTCCTGTCTTCATGACATATCCTTTTTGATCAACGTAATCTTCTAGTAAGGATACTGTATCTGTTGATAGGTTGCCGCAAATTAATTTGCATTCATGAAGTAATTCAAGCGCATGAATAAGATGCCACATAAATACGCGGATTGTGCTCAATGAAAATGTAAGTCCGTTGAAGAATTCCATTTGTTTTGTTAATGTTGGGCCAAGAGCTTGAAATATTAAAATTGGACAGAGATTATATTCGTATCTTCCGATATATTTAACAAAATATTGATGAGTTAGGTCAATTGTGTTAGTAATTGTTAATGCTTCTGTCTCAATGTTCGCTTTCCTTAATAATGTTGGTGATTTATAATAGAATTTGATCAAAACGAAGAATTTTTGTCTCTGGTGGATTCCAAAATACGATTTATACTCATTTGTTGATTCAATAAGGTCCAAAATTTTATAATCATCGCCTATTGTATCTGAAAGTGGTCTAATTATTGGCTGATATGAAATATCTTCGTCCCTAATGAAACTGTTCTTTCTGTCGTCAATTAAAGCATCATCTTCACAAGAGGATGAAGAATCTTCCGTTATCATATTTAATTCTTCGCGCCTGTAAAATATCCGAAAAGAGAAAGTTGGAATTCGGACCTCAAAAATATAATTAAATGAATGCTGATATATTGCATTACATCGAATCAACGTCCATATGATTGTTTTGTTTCAATGATTAGTCGAAGCTGTTACAACTTGTATTAAATCATTATGTGTCAACAAAACGCATTATGCAGTTTATAATGCTGATTTTAATTAGATTTGGCTCATCAAATTCAAGCATAACATAGAATAATGATTCTACTAAAAGATTTAATTGAAGGATACTTCAACTAATCCAGTTGAACCAAAGCACAGACAAATAACTATCATAATCACCAATCTATAATATTGAACTTTATTAAAATTTAAAATGTCAACATTTTAGTGGATTTAAAATTAAATGATTATAAAATGTTGTACTTAAGCATGCTGGTATTGCAAGAATTCTTGAAAAAAATTGAATAAATTAGTAGTATATGTGGACGGGTTTTGTGACTTTTTTTGTAAACGTAAGAATTCATACAATATTGAACGATTTTGTAAGTAATTTTCATACAATCGATAAAATAAATGTATGATTCTTACGCTTTTTATTCTTACGTTTTGAAATAAATCATGATTTAAAAATTTTCAGAATCGTAAGAAATTTTCACAAACCCTTTACATAATGAAGTAAAAAATAAAAAATTTAAAAAATAAATTTTAAAAATTCATGTCTTACATTTTTTGAATAATTTATTTTTTTATTTTGTATGAAATGAGTGGATCAAGATTCGTAACCGTCAATCAATTAATGGATGCTCTTTCACCAATTCTTGAAAATGTTAAACAAGTAGATGTTTATTTCGATGATTATGTAGAAAGTATATATTATAAAGGTAAACATAATATTAAACCCATTGCTTTTGCATTTGATAATAAATTAATTGAAAATGCAAAAATTTGGGAATTAATTCCAGATATTGAATATATAACGAATATAACTAATAAATGGTTCAAACGAATTCCAACCACAAAAGTTCTTTGTAAATTAATGATCAAAACCGAGGCCAAAGAATTTCATGAATTTACATATCATCCAAATAAAGTTTCAGAACTAGAAAATGAAAAACTTCAGAAAAAATTAAACGATAGACTTTCAAATGATCGTATTGAAAAAATAAATAAACTAGTAGAAGTTGCATTTAATAATGAAATATTTGATGAATATAACCTTGAACTCAGTGATGGGCTTTAAGGACCCGGGCTCAACGAGTCATGATTTATGAAATCAATTATTTGATTCATTCGCTCTTCAATAATTTCTATTCTTTTTGTTAAATCATCTATTTTCATTAATGAGGTGATTCTTGATTGAGGAATAGATTTCAAACTAACCACTCCTTTTATTTTTGAAATTTTGAATCCATCAACTTTAAACATTTTATTCAATTTACACGTTGTCAATTCTTCAAATAATTTTTTATTGTTAGCATAATAGTTATTAAATTCTTCAACAGATGAAAAAATTTTTATTTCAGTAATTGGTTTAACAACGTTTATTTTTTGTTGAACATTTTCACTTTCATTTATTTCTTCTCCTCTGTTTCATTTATTTTTAAAATCGGTTTCATTTATCATTAAATAAAAATTAAATATAAGTGATGAAATATATTTTTTAATTAATATTAAATCAGAAATGGCGGCAGGATTCTTTAAAAAATTATGGGATGGAATTAAGAAAGCTGCAGGTTGGGTTTATAAAAAGGTTATTAAACCTGTTGCAAACTTTTTGGCACCAGTAGCGAAAACGGCAGGAACTATCATAGGTGGAGTATTAGGTACAAAAGCAGGTAATCCGGCGATGGGAGCACAAGCAGGTAACGCAATTGGTGGAATTGCTGAAGGAATACTTAATAAAATAGGAGGTGGATAGTGGAAAAATAAATAAATATTATTTTTATCTTAGTATTGGTTGTAGTCTTTGATAAACTTTTTCTCCTTTATTTAAAATTTCTCATATTGGGGCAGCTTTTGGCGTTATTGATTCAGCAACGTCACTAATTGCTTCTTTATTCTTAAATATCCAATTTGCTCCTTTCTTCATTGTTTCCCAAACTTTATGCGCTCCTCTTTTTACTTTATCCCACAGTTTCTTAAAGAATCCTGCAGCCATAGTTGATTATTTCATTAAAATTAAAAATTCATTTTCATCTTTTAATTTTGATTTTTTATTTATTAATAAATGACGACTAACTATTTAGTGCCAAACACCAAACCAATTAATGGAAATGTGTTTCATTCATTCGAAAAGATAAATGAAATATTCGCAAAGAATGATGGAAGAAGATATTATAGAGAACTTGAAAGTTCATGCTATGACTCTGATGCTCCATATTTTGATGATAAACAAACTCATTTAAGAATTACAAATCCGGCTCATGATGTGAACCAATTAGGTGACACATATATTAAACGCAAAGTTAGAGCAACTCTAGTTTCAAATAAAGCTTTCACATGTGATGCCGCTTTTAAATGCATGCGTTTATTCGTTGGTTACAAATCATCAAATCAAAGCTTTAAACAATTAGAAGTAGAAACCGAAAGAGGTGATGCCGGTTATCTTCAGATGGATTGTGCCCGTGAATCTTTCGCATTTGCAACATATAAACCAAAATCAGAAAGGAAAGTTAAAAAGTTTGTTCATTCGTTATATAATAATGTTCAAAAATATGATAACTCAGTATGTGGTAAATATATTGACCCTTCAGAAGTTTTCAAGAAAGCAAATGAAGAAGTTGATATCACTTTTGATATGATTATTCCGGTAAATGATTTGTTAGCATTTCAGGCGTTCGATGATTATCCTAAATCATTTGGTGAAATCATTCTTAAATATTATGTTTTCAGGGATACTTTAGTATTTTGTCAGGTTGACCCGTTAAGAGTTGCTGATTTACAAAATTACGTTTATGAAAAGATAACTGATGAAAATTATGAAAAGATTATGAATCATGTTTATAAATATGATCGCAAATTCCAACAAATCGGACTTCTGCCAAATTAATTACAGGCTTAGCCGCTACATCTGCTGACGCAACAGTTGAAGACGTTATTATTTCATGCACAAAGATGGAAGTTTTAGAGGATAAATGCATTACACCAGGATACGGTTTAATTGAAGAATCAGTTAAAGCAATACCACGTTTATTTAGTAAGGAAGATCCATTCATGATTCCAGCTCAACATATTGACGTTCGTTCACTAAATGGAGGTTGCACTCCTGAAGGTATCAGCTCAGATTTCTCATACGCTCTTCATAATGTTACAGATGTTGTGTTAGCATTTCCGAAGAATGCAATGCAAAGAACAGTTTTAGAAAATCCAATGCTTCGAGGTCTTCAGGTCACTATAGATTCCAGAAACTTCCCCGATCAAGCGATGACCACAGTGGGTGACATATTCTTTACACGTATGCTTCAAGCTTCTGATTTAGATGGAGTGAATGAATGCACGGAAGAATACGAGGACTCATTAACTAGACCACTGAATGATGATAATGGCGTACCATTAGCTAGAACATGGAAAGACCAAACTTCATTCTTATGCACTATTCCAGTTCAACGTGATGGAGCGGGTATATTCTTTGATGGATTAGAAACTTTCAACTCACAAGTTACAGTACAAGTGAAAGCTTATCCAATCATTCAGGGAGAAAATGACACTTACTGTTCAAAGGTGACAAATCCTCCTCAGGTTTGGTTTACTAGGACTACATATTGGACATGGACACCGGATGAAGGTTTGAAATATCATCCAACAGGTACACCACCACAGTATAGAAGTTCATATGATGAAATATTGATGAATAGAAATGTATAAAATTATAAATTTATTTTTGATTAAATGGATTTAAATTCATTCACCCCTTATGAAGAATTAGCGGGAGTATATAATACATACGTAGATGATATGATTAATGAAGCATTGAGTGATAATAGAAATGCTCTATCTAAGGAAAAATTAATGAAAATTCCATATTCTGAATGTTACTTAAATTCAATCACTGCAGCAATTGGTAAACAAAATAAAGGTAAAACATTAACGATATTAAAACAAATTATCATTATTGCTAACACTTCCCCCCATTCACATGTGTTAATTTATATCAACCGTTCAGGTTCACCTTCAGATGATACATTTGAATCTTTAAAGCATTTAATCAAAATTCCAATTATTTATTTATCACAAGAAGAAGCAGAAGATTATTTAAAAAAACTTTTTAATGTATAAAGAATTATATAATACAATCAAGAAGCAAGGATTAGAGGATAAAATTATTGATAAACAACGGGATGAATTATTTGAAACACTTTCTATTTCAAATTTTGATAGAGAATTTTTGCATTCACTCATTTTTCTAGATGATGCAGTGAAATCAAAACTAATAACAAATGAGAAATCATATTTTAATCAGTTATTAACTCAATGTCGACACATTCAGTGTTCATTCTTCATGGCTGTTCAATACTTCAAAGCATTAAGCACAAACATTAAATCAAATCTATCAACACTTTTCATTTTCAGTGGGTTTAGTCGTCAACAGTTGAACGTTATGCTTTATCAAGTGAATTTACCAATGAGCATTAATGAACTTTACACACAATATCAGCAATTAGGTGAACATGGAAAAATAATAGTTGATTTAAATAAAGGAGGTGTTAAATTTGATTAACTTTTTATAATTAATTTTTATTTTTTTATTTATAATTAAACATGACAGAAATAGCAAATCTTCTACAGGTTCCATTAAAACAAGGGACAAACAAAAAGGGTGCATATAATAGAACTATGAAAGTTCCAGACGGAATGAAAGAATTAGTTCATATTGTTGCCGGTCTTCAAAAAGATGTTAAACAAATGAGAAACGTTTTAACATTACCAGAAGCTCAAGCATATGCCAAACGTCACGGTCCAAATTGGGAAGCACACGAAGCAGACATTACGGGTCCAAATGGAAA